CCCCCCCAACTGCTGAAATGTACAGAGATAACAAAAGCTTGCAAGAGGCAAAAAGGGGAAAACGTTTAAGAAAGAGAAGAGCCATGATTCATGGTCCAGTTCAGCAAGTTATTTAAACTGATGCCTTACTCACCAGGAGTGGGTTGTGGGTGTTTTTTTTTAAATTAGAATTATTATTTTGTTTGTCCTCTTGCTGACCCGCTTTTTGAAACAGGGATGCCTCGTAAGGAGAAATCGATAGAGATACGGGAGGATGGGAGGGGGAGAAATGTGTGCGTCACGTATGCGCATGAAAGAGCACGCTGGCCCCTGACACAAAGTCTGAGCCTATTATGGGTTGTAAACTGAGCACAGCAATCCTACACTTACTCTCAGTGCCAATACGGGGAGCTTCCCAATACTGAGTCAGACCACTGGTCCATCTAGCTCAGTAGCATCCACTCTGATTGGCTGAAGCTCTCCAGGGTCTCAGGAAGAGAAGGATCTTTCTCACAGAGGTTGTAGTGTCTCTCTTACTATGTTGTTGTTGTTCAGTCGCACAGTCGAGACCAACTCTTCGCGACCCCATGGACCAGATCACACCAGGCCTTCCGGTCTTCCGCCGTCCTCTGAAGTTGGCTCAATTTCATGTTCGCTGCATCTATGACACTGTCTAACCATCTCATCCTTTGCCGTCCCCCGTCTTCTTTGACCTTCAATCTTTCCCAGCATCAGGGTCTTCTCCAGTGAGTGCTCCCTTCTCATTGGGTGGCCAAAGTATTTGAGCTTCAGTTTCATTATCTGGCCTTCTGGGGAACAGTCAGGGTTGATTACTTTTAGGATTGACTGATTTGATCTTCTTGCAGTCCAAGGGACTCTCAAGAGTCTTCTCCAGCACCAAGCTGCCTTATACTGAGTCAAACCTCAGGTCCTTTCAGCCATCTGTTCAGCTTGGGGTATCTTCAGATCTCCTGTACTGAATAGCAGGTCACCCTCGATAGCCAAGAAAGGCCCCTTCCTACCTTTAAGACTCTCGCTCAAGCCCTGACCTGGATAGCCCAGGCAAGCCTGATTTCGTCAGATCTCGGAAGCTAAGCAGGGCCGACCCTGGCAAGTACTTGGAAGGGTGACCTCCAAGGAACTCCAGGGCTGGGATGCAGAGGCAGGTTAGGGCTCTTTAGCTTGGAGAAACGACGACTGAGGGGTGACATGATTGAGGTTTATAAGATTATGCATGGGAAAGAGCAGCTAGAGAAAGAGGCACTTTTCTCCCTTTCTCACAATACAAGAACTCGTGGGCACTCCATGAAATTGCTGAGCGGTCGGGTTAGAACGGATAAAAGGAAGTACTTCTTCACCCAAAGAGTGATTAACACTTGGAATTCACTGCCACAGGAGGTGGTGGCGGTTACAAGCATGGACGGCTTCAAAAGGGAATTAGATAAGCATATGGAGCAGAGGTCCATCAGTGGCTATTAGCCACAAGGTATGGAGAACCGGGTTTGATTCCCCACTCCTCCACTTGCACCTGCTGATGTGACCTTGGGTCAGTCACAAGCTCTGGCACAGCTGTCCTTGAAAAAGAGCAGTTTGTGTCAGAGCTCTCTCAGCCCCACCCACCTCACAGGGTGTCTGTTGTGGGGAGGGGAAGGGAAAGGAGTTTGTAAGCCGCTCTGAGACTCCAAGTGAAGGGCGGGGTATAAATCCAATCGCTTCTTCTTCAAGGAATCCACCGCGCCTACTCCAGCTTCACGGTGCAATCCCGTGCAGAGGTACTCCAGTCTACGCCCACTGATTTCAAACAGTGTCGCCTAGAATGCCGCTGCACAGGAGCGCTCCATCAGTCACAAAGACGCTTGCACGACAGTTAAATTATTTCAATGCGTTCTTTAAAAACTGATGCCAAATAACACCTCAACAGCCCTTCCAAGTTTGAAAAATAAATAATGGCAAGCAAAACATTGCTACTGCCCAAACAAAGCCTGATCCAAGGAATATTCGCTACTGAAGCCAGTACGAACCAACCAAGCAGTTTTACACTGCTCGGCCTGTGATGCAAATGACGCCTTCACATTGCTCACCCTGTGATGCAAATGACACCGCTTTGCAGCGAATTAGACTATCGGTCCATCAACGTCAGTATTGTCTACTCAGACTGACATCTTTTTCAAGGACAGCTGTGCCAGAGCTTGTGACTGACGCAAGGTCCTCCAGCCAGGTGGAAGTGGAGGCGTGGGGAATCAAACCCAGTTCTCACAGATTAGAGTCTGCACACTTAACTACTACACCAATTCTGGAGGCTAGAGGGGGGGGGGATTTGAGGGAGAGGCTCCAATGTCACAGCGTAGCTGCTAGAGCCTCTCCCCAAGATACCAACCACGTTTGAAGAACATTGGACCCGAGGGTCCAATTATACGGGCCCCCACACAGGGTGCCCCTATCCCCTCCATTGTTCTCTATGGTGGGAAAAAGTAACTTTTTTCCCACCATAGAGAACAATGCAGGAGATGGGGGCAACCTGTTTGAGGGCCCGTAGAATTGGACCCCCTGGTTCAATGTTTCTGAAACATGGCGGGTGTCTTGGGGAGAGGCTCCAGCAGCTACCCTGTGATTTTGGAGCCTCTCCCTCAAACCCCCTGCTTTTAAGCCTTCAGAATTGGTTTAGTGGTTAAGTGTGCGGACTCTAATCTGTGAGAACCGGGTTTGATTCCCCACTCCTCCACTTGCACCTGCTGATGTGACCTTGGGTCAGTCACAAGCTCTGGCACAGCTGTCCTTGAAAAAGAGCAGTTTGTGTCAGAGCTCTCTCAGCCCCACCCACCTCACAGGGTGTCTGTTGTGGGGAGGGGAAGGGAAAGGAGTTTGTAAGCCGCTCTGAGACTCCAAGTGAAGGGCGGGGTATAAATCCAATCGCTTCTTCTTCAAGGAATCCACCGCGCCTACTCCAGCTTCACGGTGCAATCCCGTGCAGAGGTACTCCAGTCTACGCCCACTGATTTCAAACAGTGTCGCCTAGAGGACAGGAGCACAGGAGCGCTCCATCAGTCGCAAAGACACTTGCACGACAGTTAAATTATTTCAATGCGTTCTTTAAAAACTGATGCCAAATAACACCTCAACAGCCCTTCCAAGTTTGAAAAATAAATAATAGCAAACAAAACATTGCTACTGCCCAAACAAAGCCTGATCCAAGGAATATTCGCTACTGAAGCCAGTACGAACCAACCAAGCAGTTTTACACTGCTCGGCCTGTGATGCAAATGACGCCTTCACATTGCTCACCCTGTGATGCAAATGACACCGCTTTGCAGTGAATTAGACTATCGGTCCATCAACATCAGTATTGTCTACTCAGACTGACAGGGGCTCCGGGTCTTTGACATCACCAGCTAACTGATCTTTTTAGCTGGAGGTGATGGGGATTGAACCAGGGGCTTCCTGCATGCCAAGCAGATGCGCTATCACTGAGCCACAACACCCCCCACCCAAGGTAGCACAAAAGTTCCAAGAGCCCACACAGCACAAGGCATAGGGAAGTCTAACACACAAGCTCCACCGAAGTACGTGGGAATTGCAAAAGATCACAGTACCCGGGCAGTGCAGTGGAAATTGGGTGTACCTGAGTACAACCAGGGAATGCCTGTCTCTGTGTTGAAGAGCCTCTTTCAAAAGGGGGACACGGACATGCCGAGCCCCCAGTGGCACCAACGTATGGGCCCCCCAAAGACCCACACACACACAGAAACCCTGCATGTTGCCAGTGCCCTGTGTGCTGCCTCCTAGGACTGCCAAAGGGACTGACAAACTGCCCTCAGAGTGAGAAGAGCCTGAAGCCAAAGCCCGGCTTCAGGTGGGATCCTTTGCCAGCATCCCATCTCGGTCACCTAACACAAAGAGGTGGCAGCTCGATGAATCGGGCTCCACCTCCCCTTCTCGGAGAAAGGTGCGGGAGTCACAAAAGGTGGGCGAGGAAGCGGCCCGTGAGGCTGCTGTCCCATTGGATGCTACTGAACACGAGTGGTCGGTGAAAGCTAGAGATGGCCAGTGGTCCCTGCGGCTTCATGGCCTCTTACTGAGTGAGAATGCCAAACCTAAGCTGGAGTGACTGATCTGTTACTGGGAAATTCTGAAGGTGTCTGCCTCCCGTCTGTAAAGGTCTCACTGAAACCAGTTGAACAGCAAATATCGAATGCCTGTTGGATTTAATGGTCCTTGGTTCATCGTTACTCAGTGACTCTCAAGGAAGTCCAAGCAGAAGGATAATCTTATTTCAAGAGTTCTTGCATTTATGGACTTCATGCATTTCTACTACATTTAAGGATTCTAACCATTCAGTATTGTAATGGTTGGAGCGGGCTTTTCTAATCTTATGTGAAGCATTTTGTATGTCAGTCAATGGAATGGCATATGAATATAGTTGCGCGATTATGAAGCATGTTGATGTTTTGTAAACATACACTTTATTACTTTAAATATATTTCTTTATCGTATTGTCATATATTGTTTCCACAGTTCTGGAATTTGTTTTGGTTTGTTTACAACCCTGTTCCCAGACTGTTTATAGCATCCCATCTTGGTCATTTTACACTAAGAGGCAGCAGCTCGATAAGCCGGGCTCCACCCCTTATATGAGAAGGGCGCAGAAGCTGGAAAAGGTGGGGAGAAAGCTGCCTGTGAGGCTACTGTCCCATTGGATGCTACTGGACATGAGTGGCCGGTGAAAGCTACAGACAGCCAGTGGTCCCAGCAGCTTCACAGCCTCTTACTGACTGACAGGAACCTGGCAGGCAAAAGGGATTTTATGTCCAGCTTCGCTGTTCTGTACTGGGCCGCTAAAAGTGGAAACCGTTTCATGGTGAATAAAGGCACAGACGTGGCAGAGAAAGGTACTAAATACTCAGGATTCATTCAAAGCAGTAATTAAATCTCCGCAACCCAAGGTCGGAAGGGAAAGCCAGCGGGGCACCTGCAAAGCTGCTCGTGCAACTTGATCTGCGGAATTCACACAACAAAAAGGATATCGTAGCCGAAGCGGATTACGTCGTTCAGTTTCAACGTGATGTATTTCTGGTCGGGGATCCGTACGTCGTTCACAAAAGTCTACGGAAAAGGAGGACAAAAAAAACATAGTTGAGTTTTAAAAGGCAAGGCGAGGAAGGAAAAGCTGCCTGGTCGGTTTGCTAGAGAAATACACCTGAGCTGCAGAAATCCACCTTCCTAGGCCTTCTCTAGACACCTACCCACCTGCCCTCTAACTCCCATTCTTCCACACTGATCCCTGTTTCTCAGAACGGCCAGCTCCTTCTGCCCCAGGGGTCCCGAACATGATGCCCATCAGGTGTTTGTAGAAAGTGGGCAGGGCCAGGTGAGGCTTTGCTCAGCAAAGCTTCTGATTGGTCAGTCGAGATCCAATTGGCTGTGCAGATTTTTTTTTTTTTAATGTTGCTTAGGCAGGAGCTGCCACCACCGCACAAGGACCTGCACTGTGTTACTGAAAGCAAGCTTGTGGCAGCCATTTGGTGGCTAGCTCCACCTCCTACGGCAGCCATTTGGTGGCAGCCATTTTCGTGGCTGCGCCCACCTCGCTGTGTCAAGAGTTCCAAAGGCACTCAAAAAGGTCAGGGACCTCTGTTCTACCCTCTCCGTTGCTGGAAAGTGTTACAAACACCACAGCTTGTTTTACCCAGTCCTCCTCGACACCTGGGAGAAGCAACAGTGATAGACCAGCCATGCTCTTTCAAGCTTAGCAACTGTGCTTCTTGATCACCTATGTTCGCATCTTTTGCACATCATGAAATGCCACAACTACGCTTTCTCTCGTCTTCCCAGAGCCATGGAGGCAGCATAGGGGCCTACCGTAATGCCACTGCAATCACTTTCCAAGGTCGGAAACATCCATCAGCTGTGGTTCCTGGCTTGGAAAAGGGGCATTTTGGCACTTGCAAGGAGTAATAAATCAGTAGTAATACTTAGTATTCATGCAGCATGTCAGAGTCTTCTAAGCATTTAAGGTACATGATATTACAGATCCTTAACCCTTCAAGGAAAGTCAGTACTGTTATCTCAGTACTGTTAGAAGAAGAAGAGAAGAGATTGGATTTATACCCTGCCCTTCACTACCCGAAGGTGTCTCAGAGCGGCTTACAAACTCCTTTCCCTGTGAGGGAGGTGGGGCTGAGAGAAACTGCTCTTTTTCAAGAACAGCTCTTATCAGAACTACAGCTTGCCCAAGGTCATCCAGCCAGGTGGCTCCTCAGTGGAACAGGCTTCCTGGGGAGGTGGGGGGCTCTCCTTCTTTGGAGGTTTTTAAGCAGAGACTAGGTGGCAATCTGACAGCAATGCGGATTCTGTGAACTTAGGCAGATCATGAGAAAGGAAGGCAGGAAGGGTTGCATCAGTGCTTAGTTCTTGTGGCCCTTTCTGACACGCCCAGGGAAGTGCTGATCACCATTTTGGGGTCAGGAAGCAATTTTTCTCCAGGCCAATTTGGCTGGAGATCCTGGAGGTTTTTTGTCATCTTCTGGGCATGAAACAGCAGTCACTGGTGTTGTGGGGGGGAGATATTTGTGAATTCCCTGCATTGTGCAGGGGGTTGGAATAAATGACACTGGAGGTCCCTTCCAACTCTATAATCCTATGATCTCCAAACTGCATATGGAAACAGACTAAAAGCTAAGGACACCTAATAACCATGCAACAAAGCTGATTTAAGAAACTGGGATCTTACTTGTACAGCTCAGCCTCTTATGGTGCACAAGTAGGAGAGATGCCGTGAAACACCCAGGGAAATTGCCACTCACCCTGGAGACAACCAACTCTGGCCCTGAAGGACATTGAACACATGGTGCATCAATACCAGTGTTGCATACAGTCTAAGGTGTTGGACTAAGGGTTGCCAACCTTCAGGCTTTGCTGAGGTCCCCCCCCCGCCCTCCTTGGGCTCCACCCCCAAAACCTCCCAAATTTCCCAACTCACAGTTGGCAACCCCACTTCCAACATTGTTCTCCTCCATTTTATCCTTACAACCACCACCTTGAGAGGTAGGCTAGGCTGAGATACAATAGAACCATAGAATTATAGAGTTGGAAAGGATCTCCAGGGTCATCTATTTACGTATTTATTGAATTTCTACACCGCCCTCCCTGCTGCGGTGGCTCAAGTGGTTAAGACGCTGAACTGCAGGCTGTGGAAGGTCGGTAGTTCAGCAGTTCGAGACACGAGTGTGCCGCATGACGGAGTGAGCTCCCGTCTCTAGTTCCAGCTCCTGCCAACCTAGCAGTTCGAAAGCAAGAAATTGCAAGTAGATAAATAGGTACCACTTCGGTGGGAAGGTAACAGCGTTCTGTGCGCCTTGGTGTTTAGTCATGCCAGCCACATGACCACGGAAACGTCTTTGGACAGCGCTGGCTCTTCGGCTTTGAAACGGAGATGAGCATCGCAACCCTAGAGTCGGACTCGACTGGCTTTCGAGCAAGGGAACCTTTACCTTTACGCCGCCCTCCCAGCCAAGGCTGGCTCTAGTCCAAACCCCACCCCCCGCACAATGCAGGAAATTCACAAATACCCCCCCACATCCCCAGTGGCCCCCTGCTCTATGCCCAGAAGAGGGCAAAAACAACAACAACCCACCTACACTTTCCCCAGTCAAACTGGCCTGGAGAACAATTGCTTCCTGGCCCCAAAGTGGTGATCGGCATTTCCTTGGGCATGTGAGAAAGGGCCACCAGAACTAAGCACTGATGCAACCCTTCCTGCCCCCTCCCCCTCTCATGATCTGCCTAAGTTCACAGAATCAGCATTGCTGTCAGATGGCCATCTAGCCTCTGTTTGAAGAAACCTCCAAAGAACAAAAAAAATAACTAGCTCAAGGTCAGCTTGTGAAGTTTGATGGCAGAGTGCAGATCTTAACCTGGGTCTTCCAGATCCTGGTTTGACACTTCACCACACTGGCTCTCAAGGGAGGGTTTGTGGTTCAGGGTAACACATTCTTTACACAACGTGAAGCCTTCCGAGCTCTATTTATTTATTTATTTATTTGAATCTTTTCTCCCCCTGCCTTATCTCCTTGGATTCAATCCCTGGCAGCTCTTGTTAACAGGAGAAAGTGGGTGTTGGCAAAGTCCTTTCTCTGCCTGAGGCCCTGAAAATCTGCGATCAGTCGACATGGGCAGTTCTGTGCTAAATGAACCACTCTGCAAGTTATTCAAATTAAAGCTTTTTTTTAGAACATTGCTTTAAAAAAAAATCCATTTGGTACAACTTTGGTTTCCTCAGAAACTGAAAAAGCAGCCGGGCAAACGCCACAACACGCACTGTGGTCTCTCTACCACCCACACAGCCTGGCCAAAAAGAGTACTATCTAGACGTACCGTGGGAACTAGTCAAGTTCCAACACATCCATGAACTTAGAACTGTCAGGTGTGTGTGCTCTTAAGGCAGACCTGGCCCAACCCGAAGGACAACTTAGCCAAATATCAGGGACATTTGTCTCAGCTAAGTCCTGGAGAGAGGTGGAGAGAGAGAGAGAGAGAGAGAGCACATCACTAACTGTGCTTTTCAAGGAGGAACACAGAGGCAGCTTAGTTGCCCATTGAATGGTTCGAGTCTTCTATATTCCACAAGACAGAATCAAAGATCTGAAAGGGTCCAAAGATGTACCCCAAGGGACATGGCAGATACCAAAAAATAAAAATGTCTGTATTATTTGAACCAAGTTAGAGTCCAGTGGCACCTTTAGGACCAAAAAAGTTTAATTCGAGGTATAAGCTTTCAACTGCATGCACATTTCTCCAGATACATTGAAATGAAAGTTACCAGTACATACTAGAGATGTAAAATTTCCGGAAATTTTGAAGCTCGGAAAAAAACCCGGGTTTTTTCCAGTTTTTTTCAGGGGGGGGGGGCCACCGGAAATTTTTGGAAAAATTGAAAAAATGCTACAGCAGCATTTCTTTTGTCTAGATTGAAAGTCATTCTGTTACTTTAGGAACTTAAAATATGACTATGGACATTTTTACTTGGAATGAAATGATCACAACTAGCATATTAAAAATATAGTGTATCCAAACAATTATTACAAACAGAATACCAACCCACATGAAAAAACAAAACTGATACTTTTTTATTTTCTTCTGACAATAGCACCTCCTAAAGGAAGAAATGCATCTTGTTCTTGCATTGGAGAGTTCAGTTTGTAACCTAGGACTTGCTTGTCCTCAGTGCTGCACAGAAATTAGATCAATCTGATACCATATATATATATATTAGAAATGATTTGGAAAATATTTGAACACCTTGTCTTAAAATATTTTATTCATCATGTTAATAAAACGTTCCATAATAAAAAAAAATATTTTCTTTTTTTCCAATTTTTCGGAAAAAAACAAAAAAGGCTTCAGGAAAAAAATGGGTTTTTTTCCGAATTTTCCCAGTTTTTTCCGGGCCTTCACATCTCTAGTACATACATATAGAGGGTAAGCAGCAAATTAGCATAGAGCATATTAAAGTTGTTTGACAGATGCAAGGACCAAACTGGAATAACTAATCTTCTAATTCCAGTTTGGTCCTTGCATCTGTAAAACAACTTTAATATGCTGTATGCTAATTCGCTGCTCACCCCTCTACCTGTATGTATAAACTGGTAACTTCCATTCCAACGTATCTGAGGAAGTGTGCGTGCACACAAAAGCTTATACCTCGAGTTAAACTTTGTTGCTCCTAAAGGTGCCACTGGACTCTAACTTTGTTCTGCTGCTTCAGACCAACACAGCTACCCCAACCTGAATCTATCGATATTTTTGTCATACATATTAAACGGTTTTATTTTACTATCTTCTGCAAAAATAAACTATCCGAATATCTGCACCTGCAAAATCTGAAAAGAGAGTTGTACAAATCAACACACCTGGACACAGGTTGCAAAATGGCTCAAGGGATTGCTTAAAGGAGGCTCCTAAGTTCGAGTCGACTTGCCTTTAAACAGTTTTTTTAAAAAAAAAACAAAAAAAAAAACCATGCCAGTGGGCTAGCTCACCTTTCCCCTGCCTTTGTGCCTCAAACACCACAATTATTCACCCCTGAACCTAATGATAATTTCCTC